GTTTTATACATTGTACTCAGTTCCTCTTGTCGTTGTGTATCCTAGCACTGGTTTATCTTCTGCTTCACCATCCTTCTCTCCCTGCTCCTGCAGCTTCCACGTATCCTTTGAGATCCATTCCTTATCTCTTTTCTTCCTTGCTAATACGGTTATACAGGTTTCCCTTCATATCTCTTTCAAAGACTTCCATTGTTCATCCACATATGTTTCTTCAGGGATGTTGCTCGATATACCCCATTTTATCTTGATGGCTGACGTGAAGATTTTCTTTGTAGTTTCGTCCTTCAGTTCACTTTCTGTTCTGGGTGTTCAACTTGAACTGTGGTCTGTCACCGACTTCCCTGAAGTCTTTACTTGATTTGGAAGTTTCCTGTCACTAGATAATAGTCTGAACCTACATGTGCTTCTCTTCTTGACTTTGTGTCAAGTAGGCTGCGTCTCCATTTTCTTGAAATTGACATGAAGTCCATCTGATTTTTAGTGTTGTGTGTCCATGAAGTAATATCGATGTCGCTTTGTGGATATCCTTGTGCTGGAACACAGTGCCTCCCTGCAATCATCTAATCGTTGAATGCACAGAATTCTGCAAACAATTCTCCATTCTCGTTCATCACGTCACCGAGTGCTTCTCGACTCATGGTTAGTTCTCTTCCTATGTTGTCCCCTCCCAGTTTGGCATTCACATCACCTCACCCATTAGAATTTTGATGTCACCAACTGAGGTCTTGTCGAGTGTTGATTGCAGTTGTCTGTAGAATTCCTCCTCCTCCTCCTCATATGTATTATTTGTAGGTGCACAGTGTAGTATTGTATGATTTTGACCTTCCTTCCTTTTGAGTTGAATCTTAGTGTCATGATCCTGATCGTGGAGGAGATTGTTTCCCACTGTATGAGAGTGTTCGATGCTGTTGTGGACATCATGATATCCACTCCGTGAGTGTGCTTGTGGTTGTCGTCTGGGTAACAATATCGGAGTAGATTATTGACTCCTCTCCAGTTGACAGTTTGCAGAATCCTCTTCCATTCCATCTGCTTTCGCAAGTTCCTGACACTTCACTGTGATACCTTCTCATCTCGTTTTTAATCTGGACAGCCTTGCTAGGTTGAAATATTGTGCGGACATTCCATGTCTCCACATTTACTTTTGCTTTCATCGAGAGAAGGGAAGATACATGGGCCAATTGGCTTCCTGAAGGCTTTTACCAACCGGCGTCATTTTGCCTCTCCGATTCTAGGGAGGAATAATATTGTTTTTATTTTTTATATTTTGTTTGTGCTTTGGAGTTTCTTTAGCGGTTGGTTGGATTTGTTTTACGGGTTACGGTTGCTAGCTTTATGACCAACCTTCCCTCTTTACCTGGGCTTAGGACCGGCTATTAACTAGTGAACTAGTTAACCAGATGAGGTTTTACCGAAAATAGACTTAAAATGGAAAGCAGTACGCCTGTTGACCAATCAGTGGTAGAAGAAATGAGTGCGTGAATCTCTTAAGAGGGAAGAGAAAGTTTACACACTTGTTGTTAACTGCACATTTTCTTACTGATGTGGGATTTTTAGAAAATCGAATGAACGACGATTGGAGGATGGTGCAACTCGGTAGATAATCACATAAGTCCTGCTATTTAGACGATGAATCGCACTTATGCTCCGACCGGTAGTACGACCTAATATTCTACGAGCGATACGAACCTAATGCACAAACGAACGCAAATCAGAACGTCAACTACCACCACCATCATAATAGCACCGACATGAGGTAGGTGTGTGTTCTGCCTCATTCTCTAGTCCAATCAAAGTTATTACATATAGTCTTATAGTAGGAGCGATTGCTTTATTTACATAATTTACTGAAGGGAATCATGTCAAACTATTAGTTAAAAGTTTGAAAACCAAGGATTTTTTTGTGTTCTTTGGTTTCTATCAGTTCTTCAACAAACTATGGACCGTAGTAACCAAAAACCTTTATCTCCCTTTAAATGTGTCCTAATTTTTAATCGAATATAACATGATATTGTATTCGTTTGTCAGCCAATAGGTTTTACTTGACTCTCACTAGATTTATGTTAAAGTTTATAGTTCCTCATCATCGATGGAACTAAATAGATCGGCCATTATTAGTACATGAGTTTATGTATGGATGTTTTGATAGTCCTGGTAATTCCAACTGGGTCCTCTTGATGGATAGTGGTCTGAAGTGAAATCCAGGATGAGCATTTTGTCCTATTTAGGACTTTTTGTATATGCATGTTGTATATGAGTGATTTTGTTTCCACTAAGATTTGAACGCAGTATTTATTGCTTCAAACACTAAAGCGTTATCCACTGGGCCTTCTGAATCATGATAGTCACTTCTTTTTCAGTGGATAAACTTTGGTGTTAGTGTCTGCCGTCTTCCATAAGCCTGGTGTACAATAATACTTTCATGTTTGAAGTGATGGGTTCTAGAAAAATATTATTCATCGGTAGGAATGTTTATTCACCTGACGAATCAGAAGTAGGATGAAACATTTCTCCTATATTCAACTACTGAACAGACAGTAATATCTTTTGTCTCCTCTCTTAAGGAGGATATTAAAATGAAGGTGTTTATAGTAACACCAGTAACTAGTTGGTACCTTATACCACCGATAAGGAAACCATCAGTATAGTAGATGTTCAGTAGATGAGTTGCTTCAGATAACAATCATTTTTTCTGGTAGACAGAGGTATTTTAAGATGAAGATATTGAAAATCAACTCGGTTATGATTGAACTAGACAGTTATTGCATTCACATGTTTATCTACTTTCATTAGAGTTTTCCTCTGCGTTATTTGTGAACTTCTGCTACCTTAGGCAATATCCATTTATACTGTTTATTCGTCTTTCTATTTATGATTTGACTATTTTTGATTATTTTCGTTGAAGAAGATTATTTGTAACCTTCAGTAAGTTTTTTTTGGTACAACAAACATTCAGGTTGGAATCCCACTTTTAGTTTCTTATTTAAACAACCTTAAATATGGTGTACATACTTTGGACAATCTAATCATATGCGGAAATTGTCAACATTCAAGAAAAAAGCAAATAAATCAATACGATATGTAATAATAATAATAATAATAATAATAATAATAATAATAATTTGTTCCTTGAGTTCCTAGTGGAACATAGGGCTTCAGTAGCACCTCTCTATTTCACTCTCTTCTCTGCTGTCTTTTCAACCTGGCTTCACGACTCCCTGCCCATAAGCTTTCATTTCTTCCTCACATAGTCTCCTCCATGTCAACTTTGGATTTTAATCAATAAAGAATAAACATCATCACTTTCTTTTCGTTCTTGTTATCCGCTTGTGTAAGATATGATTTTGTTGTGAGATCCACTTCAGTTAGATATTAATCGTATGCCCTTATCGGACTATTAATTTAAATATATCTATCACCTGCACTGACTGGGGTGCAGGTGTATCCAGCTGACGAGTCCCAAATAAGACGAAACTCGCTTCCTAGATTCCTCTGCTAGCTATAACCAATTTAATAACCTGTAATATGTCTTAGATCTGTTTCCCTATCTCTCTGTTTGTCATATGGGTGTATTTCAATGCATATACATGTCATCTGATTAACTCAGCAAGACAGTGCTTTGTCTTCAACGCTGTTTGGGGTCATATGAAAGTATAAATCTCTTTTTCCTCAGAGGAGGTTAATTTGACTCAGTAAAACGTTTTTGTTTTCAGTCTAAGACTTGTGCATCTGTTTCAAAACAAGATGATTTGATTGAGCTTTTTAAATGGTAGTATATGGTGTAAACCTTGTTCAACGGTTCTCGGTATTATTCATTTGATTATCAATTTGGCTTTCAAAAGTTTAACCTTTTCTTCAATCTTCTTCAATAGGTTGTTTTTTTTCACAGACTGCTGGTGAGATACCCCTATGTCAAGTAATTCGGCGGGGTTTTTCAAATTTCTTTTGTTTTTATCACGTATATAAACATGGTTTTGTAATCAGCAAATCGTGTCACATTTCTCTGTTGTGTTATCAGCATATTCTTTCTTCATAAAGAGAACCGATCTGCATTGAATCTTTATTTACATTTGGATAGTCCAGTTTATACAAGTATGTTACCGGCGTACGGTAAAGGACTACCTGTGACGTCACAACTAAAGGCCTGAATAGCTCAGTGGTAAAGTCGCTGACTACAACACTGTGTGACGCGGGTTCGAATCTTGGGCGGGATATCAGTTCCGTCGAGGTTGCAGATACGCCCTGCTGACGAGTGCCAAAAAGCACGAAACCTAGGTCCAGGGCTTCCTACCGATTGCCTTCAACCAACTAAGGGAGTGTTTATTAAGGCAAGAATATTAACTATTATATCTAGGTCTTAAACGTCTTTGAATGTATGGATCTGTTTTCAAGGAGTCATTTTCACTCGTTTTGTTAATCAGAATAAGCCTGTAAGTGCTCATTTTGTGTACGTTTTACCATATCAGTGGTGTTCAATGTAGTTTTTTTTCTTGGATGTCCACTGAATAGACGTTTGTATTCAAAGGAAACTCGAATTTCAGTATATCTGAACCAGACTAAGATTTCAGAAGGGAAGGAAGTAGTTTGTTATGATAAAACTGATTCTCTTCTATCATGTTTAATAATATTTCTAGACGTGTAGTGTTTTAGTGAAAGAGAACCCTAGTACAATACTTAATCTTTGGCATCATTAATAGTTCCAGAATACATCCTATGAACTAATCATATATTTTGAACTTCAGTTTTTGTCTAATTGATTTACCATTTCAAACCGTTCGGATTTTATGTATGCCTGAAATACTAGTTGAGATAATAGCATTCTTTTCTAGTGTAGGCGGTTTGGCAGTAATTGAACTCCCTTTTTTATCACTCATTTATATAAGCTGTTCCAGTCATTCCCCCCACCTTCTTCTCAATTCACGTAAAAGTTTATTTATAATTTTTAACCTGATATATATATTCCTGTTTCCTTTGTCTTTTTTTAAAATTACATTCTGTAGAAAGATTATTACGAATGGATCAAATGCAGATGACATCATTTTTCCAAGATGAACTTGCCAAGGATTTCATGTTCGATGACGATGATGTTATTGATTCACTGAAAGATTGTTTAGAACTATTACATAAGAACAAGTTGGATACACCACCACCGTTGCGTAAGTTTTTCATGTCAATCTCTAGTTCTTCTGTTTATTATGTGAAGCGCTATTATTATTATTATTATTATTATTATTATTATTATTATTATTAATATTATTATTATTTGTCCTTTGGGTTCCTAGTGGAACATAGGGCTTCAGCAGCACGTCACAATTTCACTCTCTTCTCTGCTGTATTTTCAACCTGGCTATACGACTGGCTGTCCTTAAGCTTTCATTTCTTCCTCACATGATCTTCATGTAACCCTCACCTCGGACACACAACTCGTCGTTTCCCAATTGGGTTCCACTCGACGACCTCACCTGCCCTGGGTTGTTGGTAGGTTCGTTGCTAGCCAACCAGAGTGACTTCCTTCTTGCTTATTCTTATTATTCTGGCCTTCTCATCTGATCGATCTTCAATATCGAGTAAGCGTTGACAGCAGCTGTAGATGATGCATATCTGTAGTTTGTTGGAAATGCTTTTCGTGATGCTCCAAGTTTATGAACCATATAGAAGCATCGACTTGACTGACGTTGGTGTTGAAAATGCGGATATTGTTCACGCCTTATGCTGAGTGCAGTAGATCTCCACACTGCTTTCAGGTTAATGAAGGCCTGTCTTGCTGTCTTTCCCATCGTTGCTTTGATATCTTCATCTGTTAGTTTGATATTTTCATCACCACTGTCTTCTCCACGTTCGCCTGAAGTAAGTTGCATCTTCGCCGCCTCGTCTCTTCTGCTAACTTGTTAGTTTCCACCTGTAGATATTCGAGTTTGTGCGATATTAGACATAAATGATCATCGTTGGCGAAATCCAAATCTTCTTATGGGGTCTCTTCGTCGGTGCAGCCAGCGTATGTCCCTCTTCTCGCTCTTGACAGTTTGTTGCAAAATCGAGTCGACCACAATCAGGAAGATGTTTGGTGATGGTAGGCGACAACCTTGTCTGACACCTGTCTTCACTTCGAAGGCATCACTCAGCCTTCCACTGTGAATCACCTGGCATGAAGCATCCTGATATATCTGTTGAATGAGGTAGACAAGGGTTTGTTACACTAAAACTGTAGTGTTGAAGCAGCTACCTGCCTAATCACTTCTCGGTCAACACAATCGAAAGGCTTTTCAAAGTCGATGAAGTTGATGTAGAGATCTAGTTGACTACCATTCTATGCTGTGTTCTATGATGTTGCGTAGCGTAGCGTTGCGATTTGATCCACACATAATTTGTTTTTTCCTGAAGTCAGTCTGTTTTTGTGGTAATTTTGAACCCAGAGCATTTGTTAGTCTCTGGAGGATGATGCAGCTTAATATTTTGCTTGGAGGGGGTGGAGGTGGGGGTGAGGACAGGAACACGATTCCGTTTTAGTTCTTGCAAAGACTTACGTCTCCATCCTTGTCGTTGTTCATTCTTGCACTGGTTTATCTTCTGCTTCACCATCTGCCTCTCCCTCCTCTAGCAGCTTCCATGTGTCCATTGAGATCCATTCTTTGTCTCGTTTCTTCTTTCTTCGTAATGCGGTTATGGATATTTCGTTCCACATCTTTCAAAGGGTTCCAGTGCTCTTCCACGCAGGTTCCCTCAAAGATGTTGCTCAATGTATCCCATTTTGTCCTGGTGACTGACTTGAAGATATCATTTGTAGTTTTTTCCTTCAGTCCGGTTTCTATTCTGGGTGTTTAACTTCAACTGTGGTCTATCACTAACTTCTTTGAAGGCTTTCAGCTTGATTTTGAAGGTAGGTTCCTACCGTTAGATAGTGAGTGGTGTGAACCACCTGCATATACTCCCGTTCTCGATCTTGTGTCAAGTAGGCTGCGTCACCACTTTCTTCACACTGAGATGAAGTCTATCTGATTTTTAGTGTAGTGTGTTCATCAGGTGAAATCTACGTCACTTTGTGAATATCCTTGTGTTGGTACACACTATCTCCAGTCATCAAATCGTTGAATGCGCAGATATCTGCAATTAGTTCTCCATTCTCATTCATTTCGCCGAGTGCTTCTAGACCCATGATTTATTCTCTTCCTGCGTTGTCCGCTCCCACTTTGGTGTTTATGTCACCCATTAGAATGGATTTTGGTGTTGCCAACTGTAGTCTTGTCCAATACTGTTTGCAGTTGTTTATAGAATTCCTCCTTCTCTTGATCTGTATTATTTGTAGGTGTATAGCATGGCATTATATGATTGTGTCTTTCCTTCCTTTTTAGTTGAATCTTGCTGTCAATGAGGAATAAGTTTATTTTTATTTTTTTTGTGTTTTGAAGTTTCTTTAGCGGTTAGATTGAGTTTACCGGGTAGGGTTGCTAGCCCTATGCCCAACCTTCCCCGTTTATCCGGGCCTAGGACTGGCTAGTAACTAGTAGACTAGTTCATTAGGTGATGTGGTGAAGCGTTATTTCTTTATACCATTTATAATTTCTCACATTCTCTCTCTCTTCCTGTCCCTATGGTATGTCCCTTGCTGATGATATTTCTGAGAATGTTTGAAGTACGTCAGTTGAAATGATCTGATCATAATTTGTATGGGATCATTTTCAATGCTGTGGAAGAGGACTTTATGTTTATTAGACTCCAGCAATCTCGATTGCTAACTGCTACTTTAACGTTGTGGTCCTCCTTGTGTATGACAATGACCCAACGAGTTATGCTAGTAGAGCTATGCTTGTGTAACGCTTGTTCTCTCGAGGCTCTATCATGCCGGAAACGTCAGTTGGATAGTGGTTGGACGAAAGCAGTTACCATTCTAGTGTAAATTACTACACCATAGTGGGGATCTGAGGATGAGGTTGTACTACTGGCTGGAATTGAGTGTGACAGCAGTTAGGTGTTTCTTTTGGATGACCAGGAGTACCATGCTAATGCTGCCTTCCCTAGGCTACTGCTGAAACTGCCTGTATTTCTTGACCTGAAGGCTCCACTCAACTCCATCAACCGAGATATCTTATGGCAATGTCTTTCACTAGGAGTGCCAAGTAAATACGTCACTATTGAAGATTCCTTACTCGAATACCTGTGGGCGTGTTAGAGTGCATGATGAGTCATCAGATGAGTTGTGTACGTCGACTGGTGTCTCTCAAGGATATCCACTCCTTGCATTCTTATTCAACTTTATCATAAGTCTCCCTTTCGTCATCTGACTTCACAGAGATTGATTTTGTTACAGGAAACTCCTTTGTGGATCTAGAGTACGTGGATGACATAGCTATGTTAGATGAAGACGCTGATAAGATGCAAAGTCTTCTGCACACCTTGAGTAACAATGTTCGTGATGTGTTTGTCATCACCCATATACAAGTTGTTGCTCCAGGACTGGTCTTCAGCAGTGCTCGGCTAAAAGTAGTGAGTGAAGTGGTTGAGTGCCTTGAACACTGTACTTATTTGGCTATGTTTTAACATAGCCATTTAGGGTAGAAGACATGAGGAGGTGAAGTGATCGAGTGACTAATGGTGATGTTGATGATCGTCGCAATAATAATTACAATAATAACGGGAACTATAATAACACGATAAGACACATGAACCGGGTACAAATAGTGACTGTTCTCCCTCAGAATTGTATGCTTTACTGAGCTTGGAAAATGAGAACACAAAAACCGGTCTATGACTGTAATGAAGACACTTTATTCGACAAAATGTATTATTTATACGCAGTTTTTATAAACACATAAAACCACTAGGTCAGAAGTTGGATATTTATTTTGATTGGTCAACGTCAGCACAAGACTGTCCAATAGACTTTTTCTTGACCACGCAGCAACACAAAATAAAAGTTAGAATCTAAAACTTCTATCTTAGCGACTGATGACTTTAAATGTTGATTTCTTTTTGTTGGTGATTTGGTGGTGAAGCTCAGAGAACATAACACCATCCAAATTATCCTCCTGAGCTACAAACATTCTGCATCTTTGCATGTTGATTTCTGTTAAGGCTGCCTATCATCAGAAGGCTTCAAATGTTCGATCACCTTTTCCGTCGTAGCATAGGTCGTGTGTCGTGATGTCCTCATGTGAGTAGAGTTTCAAACTTTGGAGGAATCTTAGTTGATGAGGTTATGAAGCTTCACCGACTTATTTGGCTGGGACATGTATAACTGACGCTTAGTCACCGTTTACTCCGTCAAATGACGACAGTCGAAGTAAGTTGGTGCTAGAAAAACACTGGAGTCGGCTAGACTAAAATATGCCACCCTTCCATAAGATCGTAACTGAACAATCTAGGGAAATATTGACTTCTTGGTCGGAGTCCGAGAGACAATTGAAATCGATGGTTGAAGACTGTGTGATATGGCTTCGAACCAGTCCTTATCATCCTACTCATCATATCGAATTTCATTATTACTGCATTCTTTCTTGTTCTCTTTGCATGACTTTCTTCAACTGTTGGCTACTTTCTTTTGTTATATCTTCATCTTTCCTCTTATTGCCTTTTTGTTTGATGTTACTGATATGATGTATAGCAACTTAAATCTCTATGCAGACAATGTTGGGTTACATTTTGATACCGATCGACTATATTTGATAGAAATGAAATCCAAGTCACCTGTTTTAATTTGAATCAAAAATGCTTATCACAAGAAATTAAGATGAATTCGATGAAACAATTAGCTCCTATGTAAAGTTGGCATACGTTATTGTGAAGACATAGTTTATCGAGAGAAAGAAGAAAAAAACTCTGAAAATTCGATAATCGTAATTTTATAAGGTGTTTTTTCTCTTTTTTCGAAGAGTGAACATATTATGCGGTGAAACAAAGCAATTAAGATAGTCAAAAAAAATTAATAATATAGGGATTGATAAATACAGAATACGGTATTTTGATATGAGGATTATCTATAATGATTTATGGTAAGTAGAAATTACTTTTGAGTACATAAAAGTGGTTTCTTACTTGCATGTAGCTTAGGTTTTGCATTAGTGGCTTTCAATGGTTATCCTAGTAACTACTTAAATACCCAATTACTTTTTGTTAGCTGTAAAAACTACCTCTCCAGACAAAATTGGTTGCTCTTAGTGGT